ACAGGAGGTGTGAATGCACGTTCTAGGCTTTTCTGTTTCCAGGGTCTGAGCGGCTGCTTGTGCAGTGGAATGGGATAGAGGTCCTTTGACAGCAGGCGGAATATGGGATGATGGTTTTTGGGTCTGGCGTTGAGATGCTTTCCTTCACCCCACCCAGCCTCTTTCATTTACCTAGCAGTATGTACTAATTGAGGGCCTCTGTGTGTCCCTTGTGGCTTTATTTTCTTCCTTCCTCCCACCAAATGGCTGTGTCCTTTGAACCTGTGCAATATGAGGCCAAATTTCATCTTTGGGTCCAACACACCACTCTGCTTCCTGAGGTGCAGGTAGATGGGTGGCTCTTGGGTAGACCAGGTAGTTAATGGCACTGCAGGTAAGTCCGGTTTTGTCCTTTCCAGGAGGGTGTAGAAAGTTGATTGTCTTTACAGCAGCATTTTCACTTCTTTTTGGTTCTGAAGTTCAGCATCTAAAACCACAGATCTAGAGAAATTGGTTCATTCACCTCTGCCTTCTTTTGGCAGCTCTGATATGCTTCCTAGAAGGTTCTGTGAGCATACCGGTTGTTTTGATAGTGGAGTTGGCGCTGTGGAGGCCATACTGCCTTACTCTCTGGAAAGCTCTTATCCCTCCCCCACTACCTCTTATTTATTTGGTATTTGCTTGAATGCTGGCACTATGCTGCCTGTGGGTGTGTTTAGGTGGTCGTCCTGTAATCTGCAGACTGCAGGGAGTGGGCACTGGGAGGGGCACCCAGGATGCCCATACACATGTGGAACCATGTCTCTGGCTGGCCCCGTCCAACTGAGCCATGGTTCCACCCTTCATTCTGTTTGCCTCCCCTTGTCCACATGCTCATTACCAACTGCTTTGTGATTCTGCAGCAGACGGGCTTGGAAGAGTCAGAATTTCCTTAGAGTTTATGTGACGATTGTTCTCGGGCTGGGGATACCTCCCCATAGTAGGTTCTAGCAGCTTTTTACACCAATTCTGACTTTGCAGAAGAGACTCCCCCTGGAGCTTCATGTCAAACACTTCTGTTAGGAACAGCAGAGCGACTCAGAGTCTGGGAGGGTTGATGGAGGCTGGTGGCCTGTACCACTGCCTGCCCTCATGCTCTCGAGGTGACATTGATTAGAACATGGAGGTGGCAGAGAGCCCAAACTCGATCAATGCTCCTGAAATAAATGCTGGAAGTATAAGAGTTGTTGCCTGATATTCTGGACCAGGCAAGGAGAGACTTGGGAAGGAGCCATGAGCTTGGTTTTCTGGTTTCTGTTCTGTTTGACACATAAAGAACAGAAGGGTTTAGCTACAACAAAGGTAAGAGAAACTAATGGTACGAAACCTTACTGCATATGGAAGTTTCCAGCCTGAGGGTAAAAGTCTTTTTCAAGTGTGGCAGTAAATATCCTAGCATCCCTAAGTAAGGTGAGACTTCTTGTCACCATGGCAGAGCTGGCTGGAGACCTGTTAGGACCATATCTTTGCTATAGCCAGCCCATAGGAAGACATGCCACTGACTGCTCTCAGACCAGCAGAGGGCAGTCACTGCCCCTGGACACTCAATGATGCCATGCTTTTCATTAGCTCTGCCCAAAGGAAAGCTGAAAACCCAGTGTTCTCTCACTTGATTGATTGTAGGAAAGGGTAGATGAACAGACCGGGAGAAAGATCTCACAGTTAACGGTAGTCACTGCTCCTAAGAGCTGTCCCTACCACCACCACCTTCCCCCCAGATCTGTGCCAGAGAACCGTGTGCCAGAGAACCAAGCCTTTCCCCCTCTACATTAGAAAGAAAACTTACAGACTGCACAAGTGCTGATGTTTAGGGAGAGGAGGTAGCAGCATGGTAGACTGAGGTATAGGTGGAGTATCTACCGACTCTGCTTGGGCCCTCAGCACTTTCCTCCAGCCTGGGTGCTCTGTACCCAATGACAGAGCCTGAGCATCTTGTGTGGCTTGAGTTCTAGAAGGCTGTTGAGGCTTTTATTTATTTATTTTTTTCTAGCTAAGGTTGGAGGACTGTGACCTGAAGTCATCTTGAAGGTTCCCAGCCTAAACATTGGCTCTTTTCAAAGGAGTCCAGGATCAGTAGGGTGGAGGCTTCTGTTTAGAGAGCAGTGACAGAGCATCTGGGAATCAGTGGGTCACCTGATGCTGCTGCAGTCAGGAGGGAAGCTTCTGAAAGGCAGCCGAGGCCTGGGCCAAGGTATTGGAGCAGTAGGTGTCATGGGAAGCCTGGTGTGTGTGAATGCTGGGGTTGAATGGCTCCATCCTTGAATCATTTGAAATTTGTGCTGTGGTTGCCCAAGGGACCCAAGGAGACTGGAGGCTGTGTGTCATGCAGTCTGGAATCCATTAGAAGCAGCACCACAATGCCACTGGAGTGGAGGAGCAGGTCGGTGCCCAGGGGAGGAAAAAAGCATGCCTAATCTCTGGCTAACATTGCTCCCTGAAGTCTGGAAGCGTTTGCTTTGGGAGCAAGAGCAACATGACCGTGAACATGAGGAGCCAGGCTCTAAGTGGTACCCCTGGAGCAGGCAGCACAGCCACCAGGGGTGAAGTACTGACCTCAGTAGCTTTGCTGACCCTTTCAGGAGGAAAGTTTGTTGTTCCTTCTGGACTAAGCTGAGGAAGGTTCCAACTGTATGTGACATGGTTAGCAGGGAGTCACTCTTCTTAGAACGCAAACTCAAAACCCAGAGAAAGTCCTGGAAGCCACAGGTGCTTAAAAAAAATTAACCTCTCCTCCCCAAGCTGCTGTGGCCAGTGCTTCTCTGGGTGGTGGTGGCACACAAGTGACAAGCCACAGACTCAGGGCCACTTGCAGCATGTGTGGGCTCTAGTGTTGAGAGGAGAATGAGAAAACGTTAGCAGTCAGATGGTTGAAGATGAAAAGACCTGAGAGTACACTATAAGCTGACAGCTAGGGTGGAATCGAGGAGTGGGTAACAACAGTCTGGTGTGGTGAGGCCAGCCAGCAGGAACCTACTACTTGAAGCCAGGAGAACTAAAGAACAAACGGAAGCCCTGTAGGAAGGGAGGTGCTGTGGACACGCTGGCAGGGTGCGGGCAGTGCACAGGCTCAACTTGCACTGCAGCCCCTGTGGAGTCTGCCCCGGCCAGAGGCCAGTGGTCCTGCACACTGTGACTCGGTGGCAGCCTGCTACACCTTCCCCAGGCCCATGCTGTACACCCACTGCTGTGTCCACTGGGATATAATATGTCCAGTGGAAGGGTGCCTGTGTCCTTGGAGACATCCAGAGTTCTGTGGCGTGTGCCTCCATCCTCCCCACCCCGCCCCATCTACTGCAGAGTCACTGCTGCCGTGGGTTTAGCCTGTCTGTGTAGGTGAAGTGGGACTGGCCCCTGGGCTGCTGCTGTGACCCTTGTTCCCATTCAGCTTCCCAGTCTGTGAGTCCCTGGTGTGCCCAGGGGAGCAGTGTTTCTTATATCACCCCAAGTTTTTCAATGCAGTGTAGAGAAGCGGCTGCAACTACAACAGAAACTGCACCCTGACCAAGTTTGGTCTCAGAATGAAATGAATGGGGGCCAAGAAGTGCCCTGCCCTTCCCAGAGCCCCAGTGTTACCCACTTCTGAATAAGGAGGCTGGCTGAGCCACTGGAGCTGGTCTTTCACTTGACTGATCCCTCTCCTTGCCCCACTTCACACAGTGTTGGAAAGGAGAGGCCGTGATGGTGTTTGTTAGCTCTGTCGGATCAGAGGCAGGAAGGGGTTTTTGCACTAGGAAGATTTGTTGGTCACCATGAGACTGGACCACAAAACACATTACAGAGGAGCAGGTTTTGCTAAGACATAATTTAGTTTTATAATCAATCATGGATGAACCATATATGGCTAACTTGGAGTTGCGGGGGGAGGGGGAGCGGCGGGAGGGGGTATTTTCCCATCAGTGAAAACAAATCAAATTTTTCAAAAACTCTTTAGTTCAGTGGAAGTCACCTCTTCTCAAAAGGTTTAAACTTTCCCACTATGACCTTAAAAGCATGTCAAAAATCCGCATCAGATGCCATACATACAGGCTGCAGGAGAAAATGGTACAGTCTCAGTGAATGGAATCAAAGGTTTGCTGTCCTTAGAATGTTCTGAAATGTCAAGGCAGTTGCTTGTGTTTAACTGTGAACAAATAAAGATTTATTGTTTTGCACTCCTCAGTGTTGAGATGAAGAGACTTTATACTGGCCTTGGGGGCTTGTGGGTGAAATGAGATGGTCCAGAGACACTGCAGTCTGTCTGGAGTGGTTTCCTGGATGGTGGTATGGAACAGGGGTAGACTTGGGCTGGGGAACAGATACTTCAGCTTCCTTAAACTCATGCCCCTGTCTAAAGAGCAGTGTGTGGAAGAGGGGCCACCTCTGACAACTTGGCCTCTCCAGTCATCCTGATGGAACCCAGCGGAAGCTTACCCTGGCCAGCTGTGTTTGTGGTATGCCAAGGGACAGTGCCGCCGCCATCATCATCACCTACACCCAGATGCCCCCTCTGCCCTTCAGGTATTGGGCAGAAGTGGGAGATAACCTTTACATAATTTTGAGATTCTTCCCCCACCTAGTCCCTACCACTTGGCCTGGGCCTTAGTCGGGTAAGCAGGGTTCAAGCTGCATAGTGGTGCCTCAGCCAGCCCATGTCTGGAATTCCTTCACTGCCCATCTTAACCTCAGGAAGCTGTTGGAAAACTCAGGAGTTGTCTGAATAGGTCTCTTGCCAGACAAGGAATTCACTCTTGGAGAAGCCTGCAGGTTGGCCCGCTGTGGCCTAAGCCACTTAGAGGCAGCCCACTCTAAAGGGAAGCACTCAGTTTGGCTGCAGAGGTCTCTGGTGCTGTCCAAGAGGGGCTTTGCCTGTGTGGCCACCACCCAGTGTCCTCTGATGTCTTAAAAGTACAGGGTTTTTTGTTTGTTTGTTTGTTTGTTTGTTTGTTTGTTTGGTTAGTTGGTTGGTTTTTGGACAGGTAAATCCCAGAAAACCAAGTCAGGCAGAGAAGTGGTAGAACACTTTATTCTTGAATGTCTCCCCCCAAGGAAGCACAATACAGAAGCTAAGTCGTCCCCTGTGAAGGGAAAAACCAACAGTCAGAGCTCACTTCTGGCGGGCAGAGAAGCCAGGAGTATACATTTAGTGTGGTTAGACTAGACTGCTACAGGGACCAGGCCATTGTCTTGCTCAAGAGCCACAAATTCTGACTTCTGCCATGCTCTCGCGCTCCCAACTAAGGAGAGCATTCATCCCTTGGTTTGGTCCAGGGAACTGAACACAGGTGAGTTCAGCCTCCTGATCCCTACTTCCTGACTTGTTCATGAGACACCTTGCAGCTCATCTCCGTCTTGCCCTTGTCAAGACAAGGAGCTAAGTTGCTCCAGTTGCTCACTACAGAGCCAGAGGCCACAACATGGGCAGGAGGCCTGGGCATCAGCACAGCACCCTTCCTCTGGGATACGCCCTACCAACACCACATTGTTTGGGCAGCTCCATGAGTAAGGATCCCTTTCATCAACACGGAGGTTAGAAGTGAAAAGCAAGAGAGAGAGAGGTTCTCAATTATGTATTGGCCCCCAGTAAGAATGGATGAACCGTGGAAGCCAAGGTTGACATTGAGTTACAATTTCCCACCGGGTGGTCTCCAGGGAGGGATCCGGGAGCCTTTGTCTTTCCCCCTAGATTTGAGGCTCTCTTTTGCAAGCTGCCTATAATTGTGTTTTCCTAACCATGGCTGGGCAGGTCTGATAGTGGTTGCTGCAGCGGCTCCCTGGCTACCCAGGACCTCACTCACATGCTGCAGCACTTTACGAGGAAGCTTCTCAGAATGAGCAATCCACTCTTTCATTAAGTCCAGGACTAGAGGGATAAGACTGACCACGCCTCCGTAGTGGTTCCTGGCTTCATCACAGCTGAGATGGTTCACTACATCATGCGGGTACCTGCAGGATAGTGAGCAGGTGGTGAGACCTACCTCATGGACAGCAGGTCACCCTGGGAGGTGTGAGAACTAGACACACATAACGTCAGGCTCCATCCCTATGTGTTCTGATTGAGAAGGTTCAAGGCCAAGAGCCCCAGGTACGTCTGGTGTAGGTAGCAAGAGCTCTCAACCACCAGGACTAGGGGCTGGAGAACCTCCTATCACCTTTGTAAAATAGTAGCTACCTACAGCCCTTCTTGCCCTAACATCTAGACTCCTAGAAATGGATTATGAAACTTTGGATTCTTTGGGGTCACCATGGAACTTCAGGGGATATAACTCAGGTGTCCCACTTCTGTAGCCACTTCCTCCCTAGTCTGGTTCTAAGTCCTAGGAGACATTTTTTAGTTCTCCTATGTCTGACCCAGTTTTAGATCAGGTTAATTAGGTCAGTCATTCTAGGTGGTAGCTGGAGCCTAGGACTGGTATAGACTAGAGGCTATGACCTGTGCCAGCAGGGGAGAGCCAGCTCACAGGTTCCTGTCCTCTCAACACTCTGCCCCATGTCCACCCATGAGGGACTTACTTTGCTCTGAGGCTGCTCAGGTCATTGCTTTGGCTAACCAGAGTTTTGCATTTCTCGAGAAGGTTGTTGGTGACGGGGGTGCCGGAGTGCAGGGCCTCAAAGTGCTGGCAGAGCTTGTTGAGCTCTGAGCAGATGTCCAGGAACATGAACAGAATTCTCCGGTCTGTAGAGTTGTTGCAATAGTGTTCCATGTAGCTCTGCACCTGCAGGGGCCAGCGTGTCAGGAGCTGGGTCTGGAAAGATGGGACACACACACACACACACACACACACACACACACACACACACACACACACACTGCCCCAGGCCTCCCTCCATCACAAGCTTGATGGCAGACATGGAGCATTTGAATATACAGATCAGGACATACAGCTAATGTTTGTGTTCCAAGCACCATTTCATTTTGCAAAAATACTTTCCTAAGTCTGGTCTCCCTCCCTCATCACCTAAGCTCTCCACACTAGGTCTCGGCCTTTTTGAATTCTCATTTTACATACTCCCTAAATGCTAGAGGTTCAGACATGAGAAATGACCTGCTTGGGTGCCAACACAAGTGGCCTGACTGATTGGCCTCTTCACACAGTGCCCTGGTCTCCACCACCCTGCTTATCCAAACCACTGAGGAAGAAACAAGAATCCTTCAGGCTGGTTGTACTGCACTTTGGAGTTAGAAAAAGTCTGCTACAGGCCTGACTGGAATGACTATCTGCATGAAGACAGTGCAGTATGATACCCCAACCTGGATTGGGAGGCCATCCCAGTGTGTGGGTGGTGGGTAGGTGGGTGGGTGGGTGGGTGGGACACAGTTCATATCAGACTTCCTATACTGAGTAAACTTTAAACCTCCCTGTAACTGCATAGTTAACATGCTGAGAACACCAATTCTCTGTCCTGCTTCCCAAGGCTTCCTTGGGTAGGGGTAGGGAACCCCTCTATGGGTCTTTTGCCAGTTACTTGGCACTTTGCATCTAAGCACAGGCAAGGTGATATGGCTGGCCTGACGCTAAGGAAGAACTGCCTCAGCTACAGGACTGAGTAATGGATTCAGTCGTTTCACAGCCAGCTGCTACTCTCCATGGAATGATAAAAGGAGGGCACCTCTGCTTCCTCCAGTGCTCCAAACTGTCTCTGTCTAGACAGGGCTACCATGTTTCTAAGTGATCTGAAGAGATTCCTCCCTCGCCTGTAAGGTAGAGGCTTCCAACACATACCTGTCCAGGTACCTGGGGTGGGGGACTGCATCAAGGTGTGACCACAACAGAGTGGCCTCCTTGGATGTGTGAGGGGGGCTTTGAGGGTAGACAGGTCTGAGAGCACCTCTTCTGAACCTAAGGTGGGAAGCCCTATCAAGCAGGTGCTTAGGAAGTGGGACTCGGGCCACTATTAGAGACTGAAAACCTGTCCCATGCCCTTGGAAGGCTGAGCTGCTGGGGGAGTGTAACCAGCTGCCCTTCCAGTAGTTCAGGGCATGAACATGGACCAGTGGACCACTATGATAGATGGCTGGGTGTGGATGCAGGTTGCATGGTGCATTTTCTTCATGTGGTCAGCATTTTTTTCAAGTGAAAACCACAAATTTTCACAAAATTTAGAAAAAGCAATTGACCAGATGCCTCTGGTAAAGGTTGCTTGTTTTCTGTGGTCTCGTTTCTCCCGGGTACTTTGAGCCTGGACCATGCCCATCCCCAGGCCCTTTAACAGGCATCCCTCAGGGGGGCTTGACTTCTTTGCGGCAGCTTCTTTCTTAGTTCTGGGATCCACTTGTGTATATGTTCCTAGCTGCCCAGTGGCCAGGGCCCCTAACTTCCTGGAAGGCCTCCAGCCCCCACTGAGTAAACTTGAACAATAGCTCACCTTTAAAGAAACAGGTTAAATAAAAGTATCTGCGAAGCCCCCATCAGTGAGCTGGGCCAGGCGCCACTGTGGGGCAGAACCTTTTGAGAAGGACCATTATCGACCTGCTCACCAACAAATCCCCAGAGCTCAGCCTAGGGCTCACAAGTGACACTATACACTTGGGTGCTTAGTGTGGGCCAAGAGTTTTCCATGGACGCTTTCATTAGATGTGCCTTCCTGGTGGGGAAACTGAGGTTAGTGAGATATGCTCACCAGCCCAAGGCTACAGGGTGGCCAAGCTGGCTGAGTCTTGAGCCCATATTTTAGTCACCACTCCATATCTGGTAGGTGCCGATGACTGAGGGACTGTTTTCCATCAGTTAGAATCTGAGTCGGCACAGAAACTAACCAACCCACCATTCTCCTCTCTAGGGCCCCACTGCTCCATGGTTTGGGTGAGGGGACTGGGCTGGGAAGAACACCCTACCCCGCCCTGCACCCCCGCGCTGCACACCCCCACCCCCCACCCCCCGCTGGTCAGGCCTCACCTGTCCAATGCTGGAGATGGGCCGGATTTTGTCATGAGCATTCTCCCGGCAGTGCTCTAGCGCTGCGATGAAGGTGAACTGTTGCTGTTGGAAGAGCTTGTACTTCTGCTCGATGCTGCGGAGGGTCTCTTTCACCTCGTTCATTATCGTCCTTGGGTCTCACAGGACAGGAAGGGTCTATTGGGAGGAAGAAGAGAGCCCTGAAGCCCCAGGGATCAGAATCTCCATCCAGCTTTGGAGGGAAGCGTCCTCCCGAAGCAATGCGCCCCTACTTTGTGGGAAAGGAAGCAGGTCTTGGAAGCCGTGTGCTTGTTCTAGGTCCTTCAAGTTGTCCACCACTACACCAAAGTCTGACCTTGTCTATTTACCCTTACAGGACACAGTCTGCCATGAGCTGTGGCTTCCTTCACCTAGGGACAGTTTCTCTGGTCCTCAGTGTCTCTAGATCATAGGGTCTTTCCTCATACATGTGCACACTGTCTCAAGTGTATGTGCACACACGGCACCTGGGACCTCATCTGTGGCAGAACCTGGGACTCAGGGACATGACAAGACCCCAAACCAGCAATATGTCAGTTTTTTAAAAAAAAAATTGTCTACCACAGTGAAGTTGGTGAGAGTCTGGGAATTCTTCCTGTGAGCTAAGCCAGAGAGTCAGTGCTTGGGTGTTCAGTGTGACTCTCTATGTCTGTCTCTGTGGCCTTGGGGCAGGAGCCATAGCCTCGGGTTTGCAGGTTTCCAGGACAGGTATAGGTGCAGACTCCTCCCCTGTCTTATGTTAATTACCACATTATCTGATCAGTAAAGCCATCTGCAGGGAGTACATCCCAGGGGCCATCATTGATGTGATGGTGGCTGTCCTCAAGCACTGAGAATCCCCCATGAGCAGAGAGGGCAGCAGGTGCCCTATTCCATGCTGTTATGGTTTACCAAACTGACCTTGGGCAAAATGCTTATACTCTTTAGGGAATGTCAGAGCTAGAAGGGACCTCAGCAGCCCAGACCCTGTAATGTCCAGGGGGTATATGGAGACCTGGAGATAAGGGAGTCCCAGCGAATGTGTGCCATAGACCCCTGGGTCCCAGGTTTCCTGATGCCTGAACACACCCTCACTGCCCCACATCCCTCTGCCCCTCCCCCAGTGCACACAGAGCCCAGGTTCCAGCATGCCAGCCTGTGTCACTGAGCCAAGGCCATTCCAAGATGCTGGAAGCAGAGGGGGCACACACACAAGGTCAAGTGTAAGGAAGGCAGCTCCCTAGTGAGGACAGGGTGGAGCTGGGAAGGCAGCTGTGTGGTAAAAATCAATGGCAGTAGTGGGGTGTAAGAACTGAGAACAGACCAGAGTACGGTCCCTAGGGACGCTGGCCTGCAAATCAGAGAGCTCGGGGATGACTGCAGGGGAGGCCTTTTAGAGACCCAGGGTTGTCCCAAAGTCAACCCCCTTAACCCAAGTGGGTGCCTTGTGCAAATTTAATAGAGCATGCGCCGCGTCTGCCAACAGCTGGGAGTAGCTGTAGCCCTGGGTGGCCTGGTGCAGATCAGCCCCCTGGAGGCAGGGCAGCCCCTTCCTCCCTCCAGGCCTTCCTGAACTCAGCCTTCTGCCTGCTGTGGACAGGGTGAGTATGGGGCTGAGATTATTGTTTATCGGGCATCTGCCATGTCCTCGGCCTCTTCCCCATGGGGCAGAATAGCTCACTTGGGCATAGGGGGTTTTTTCTTGTCCCTCCCCAGGATTCTGACTCACCAGGGAGGGTTGAAGGTGATGGGGAAAAGACAACCTTTAAGGACCGAGTGCCAAAAAAACTCAGCATCCATTCAAGAGAGAAAAGAAATACTTAAAAAGAAAGTTCCCAAGAATAAAAGAACAAAATTTTAGAGAAATACTGTGCTTTTCCCCTACCAGAGCCTGTGGTAAAAAGAAAAATCTGTAACAATAAGCCTGTCTTTATGAAGTGTGGATAGTTTATTCTAAAAGGATTTTTGCCATTTGTTTTGAATTTTGAAGAACATGGCATTAACGTATCTATCTTGACTGTTGAGATTCAGGGCCCCTAGTGTTCCATTCACAGATGAGTGTCCCATCCTGCTCCAGCTCAGAGCTTACAAATGACTCAAGTTATAACCTAGGAAAGTCAGAGAGACCTGGTGGTGGGTGTCCAGGGAGACGGAGAGTGTGTCTCATTAGCCTGCTCTCTGCCCATGCTGCTCAGTGTTGTGGTTGGCAAGAGTCAAGGCTGTTCTGCAACCACGGGTCCTGGGTTCAGATCCCGTTCCACCCTGACTACCAACCTCAGGTGACAATAGTCTCTGAGCTTGTACCCTAACATACAGGAGATAGCAGCAGCCACCCAGCCTTGGGGTTGGCACGCCCTGAGATGACAGGTGTAAGGAAAGTGGAGACCTCAGAGCTACCATGATTACCCAGCATGCAGGTGATGTGGGACTGCCACAACAGGTGTGGTGAGTACCTAAAGGGAAGTGAGGGCTGCCGGGAGCTCATCCTTCTTGGTGGAGGGGTTAAACTCTAAGCTTGAAAAGAAGGGGTGTAGGTGGGCAGTGTACTTGGCTAAGGGGCAAGGATGTAAGACAGGGCCAAGGGACCCCTAGGTCAAGGTGGATATTCAAAACTGCTGAAGGCATCTAAGCTGGAGGGTGGGATGAACACCACATTCGGTCCTTCCGTCCCTGTACCAGATACAGTCTAGTGCTGGGCTCTACAGAAATGGGCATGGTATATGAGGCCCTGCCCTGGATGAACTCTGCTGGCGGGGGAAGAGGTCAGGAGAGCGCTCAGCGTGTGGCAGGGTGGACACTTGGGAGCCAGGGCCGTGCGGTCTGCCAGACACTGGTCTGACATGAGAACAGCCTCTCCCCCAACAGTGTTGTAGGGAAGCCCTGGGCATTCGTCATCTCTATCCCTGGCCACAGTTTAGGACAAGCGACCACAATGATCACATAGGATGGTCAGAGGATGAAACTGAAACCACACAGGAGGAGGGCAAGCCAGGATCTGTCACATCCTGGCTTGGCTTCTCAGTCTGGCTCTTCGATTAGACCCCTCCCTTCTCATGTTCTCTAGAGACAAGATGGCAGGCATCGGGTTGGCTGTGGCTGCTGGGGAACAGGTGGGATCTGAAAAGTTACCCAACCACTTCTAGGGGCCCCCACTAGCTAGACTCTGGGTCTCACTTCCACTCCTATCCCAGAGCAATCATGGGGCTATCTCCTGTGTGTTCAGCTCCCCCGCCGCCCTCTCTGGGCGTCTGGGTTCTCCCAGGAGACGGTGCTAACTGGCTTGCTGTGGCCCCATGAGCCCCCTAGAGCAAATCTGGCTCAGTTCTTGATCCTAGCAACTTGTGACACACACACGTCAGGGATGTCACAAAAGGGGCTGTAACAAGCTATCCAAAGTGATTGTCCCTTGAACACAAGCCTCTGCAGCCAAATTAGAGCGGATGAAAGACCTGAATGCAGGCGCTTCTCTCTCTGGGGGGAGGAGGGAGGAAAAAGTGATTACCCCATAGGTTTTAGGCTTTAATTGATTTGTATTTTTCCAGGCTGCTAAAGAAGATTAGATCATGGTATGAAAAGTGCCTAGGGCTGAAAATAAATGAGGAGAAAGGAAACCACTTCAGAAATGTCCAGGAAGCACACCGCACCTCCCCAGTGCAGGCTGCAGCTTGGCTCCTGTATTCTTTGTCGAGGAGGCGGCTTCTTTGCTCCCCGGCTGACAAGTCTACCAATGCCTGAGGCCTCTGAGGAAGCAATTGTGGGGACAGAGGGCAAGTGTCACAATCCCAGGCCAGGACACCTGCTGCCAGCCTTGGGGCTGCCTCTGATTTCAGCCACGGCCCTCGGCAAGACTTTCCCCTTTGCTAGGTCTCAGTCTCTGTTTCTGCCCAAGGAGTGAGTTTGGATCAAAACTCTTCAAGCTATTGAAACTCTGTCCTCTGCCCAGCAGCTGGTGAGAAAAGAGATCCAGAAAGAGGAAACGACTTGCCCAAAGTCACCCAGTTAACTCCTCTGCCCTGTCTAATTCTTCAGATTCTCTGTATTCTGAGAAGAAAGGTTCTCATTTGACTATGCCTAGTGCTGCGGCCTCAGGAACCTCTGCAAGCAAACCTGTTATTGACCTATATAAACAGATGAACTACCGGCGTTGGAGATGGCTCAGTTGTTAAGAGCACTTGTTAAGAGAACCTGAGTTTAGTTCCCAGCACCCAGATCTATTGGCTCACTGCCTATAACTCCAGCTCTAGGGGTCCAAACACCCTTTTCTGGCCTCTGCTCTTCCTCTGTCCTACCTTATACACATAAATAAAAATAAAACTTGTAGCTGGGTAGTCGGGTGGTGGTGACGCAGGCCTTTACTCCCAGCACTCAGGAGGCAGAGCCAGGCAGATCTCTGTGAGTTTGAGGCCAGCCTGGTATACAGAGTGAGATCCAGGATAGGCACCAAAACTACACAGAGAAACCCTGTCTTGAAAAACCAACCAACCAACCAACCAACAAACAACAAAACTTTGAAGAGGAGGGCTACTGCTGTCCAAAGGTTAAATGGATACCACTATGGACAGTGGCCCACAGTGCCCACTTTCGAAGTCGTGGGAGTAATGCTTGAGCTGCCCCAACTGCTCAGTGTGGAAACTGAGGTCCACAAATTTGTCTAGTTCACAGTGTACATCCGGACACACCCAGCACTTGGACTTTGGGCTATCCCTGTAGGCTGTGCCTGCCTCCCTCCCTCTTGGTGAGTACTCTGCCACACTTGCCCATTCCAACAGCAGCGAGCTCTCCTCCCCTAGGCCAGAACACCTCTGCCTCTTCCCCCACCACTCCCCAAGTGTTTTCGATTCAGCTCTTGGGCGGTGCCCCAGCCCCCTTTACCCTGGTTTGACTCGGACTGGCCTTCGCCTCACAGAGTGCCCAGAAGCTTGGAGTGCCTCCGTGGGTGTGTGGGCCCCGAAGGGCAGGAAGGCCCTCCTCAGGTCTCGGGAAGCGGGAGTGGGCGGGGTCGAGGCCTCAGAGACCTGGCGGTCCTGGCCGATTGTGACCACAGGTGCCATGGCAATCAGGTCACATGGCCCGGCTGCCTAAACCAAGGAGATCCGCCCAGGTTCCGGCTGATCCCAGCTGCAGGTGACTTTCGCTCTTGCTGACGCCGGACCCACATCTGCTTAGCGTCTTTCCTTTAAAGACGGGGAAACTGAGGTCCGTGGAGCAGAGTCAGGCTTGACACCTAAGCTTCCATTATCACACGATGGCTGCACCAGAAGCAGGTTTCTGGGAGAGGGCCTGGGGATCCAGAGCTATGGACCCTGGGGGCATCCTGAGGTGCTTGCGCTGTGATCCCCACGGGCATCCTGAAGTCCTTGCGCTGTGGCCCCTCGGGATGTCCTGGGGTTTTGTGCTGAGGCCCGTCGGGGGCCCCTCTGCCCTGGGGAGGGAGAGCCTACTGCGATCCTTTCTGAGATGGATGGAACGGTGGAGCCAGGACATGCCCCAGCAGAGGCGCGCACCGATGACGCACAGCCTGGCGTCCTAGCAACGCGGTTACTAGGGAACGGCAAGCAGTCCGAGACATGGACGCGACTACTGCCCCGCACCTCATCCCCCCGGAAATGCCTCAGTACGGGGAGGACAACCATATCTTCGAAATGATGCAGGTGTGACCAGGTGGCCGGGCGCCCGAGGGTGGGAAGTGAGGCACAGGACCGCAGGAGCCAGGCTGGCAGCATGGCCTGGGGGGTAGTTTCTCTCCTCAGTTTCCCCACCAGTGAAATCCCGCGGTAGTCTCCAAGGCCTCGTCTGGAATTGTAGTGGCCGAGCCTTGAGTCTTACCTAAGCTGGGCCCTTGCAGCCCTAACAAGGTAGGATCAGCCACCTGACTTCAATAGATCCTTTCAGGAGACAAGCAACAGTGAAAAACAGAAAGGTTTGTTCCATATGACCAGATTGGGAAGAGGAGCACATAAAAGTCTGATGATCCCCCCACTCCCAGATCCAGTTTTGGGGTCCAAACATGAGGTTTGAATTTAGAGGGCAAGAGGTGCGCATAACTAAGCAGGCCCAGTCAAGTGTGGTCCTACCCACTTCCTGACCCGCCTTAGTCTCGGCTCCATTCTCCCTTGCAAGTTGGTCTGACAAGTTTTAAGAACTCCGTGGAACCTCCTTTGTCTGGCACCAAGCTTCAGCCTGTTCCTTCGCCCAGCATGAGGTTCTGTGGGAAAGTCCAATGTCTCAGTGTCCACTGTCTCAGCTGTCAGTCAAGGGGAGGAGACGTGGGTTTTACCTCACTAGAATGTTCGTTCCTGTTGGGACCAAGGTCAAGATGACCTCCCTAACCGGGTGGCTTCTTCTAAGGTGGTGTATTTTCTACTTAACCTCCATCTTCAGAACTGGCCTTTCCAAAGCCCCCAGCCCTCATCCTGGCTCCCAGCCTGTCCTGGTTCCCACCCCCCTATGGCCTTAGGCAAAGCTTGCCCCAGCTCTGTGGTCCAGTCTTCCACTTGTACTCCCCACAGGTACAAAAGGCTTTTAGCAGCTGGACTGATAAGCTCTTAGCCTCTCAATGATTCTGGGGGCCAAGGGTAAACTAGGCTCAGTTTCCAGTACCCTATTCTGCCATTTGATGTGTTGAAGCCCCCCAAAACAGAACCATGGTGCGTCATGAGCCGAGGCCAAGGAACCTGAGTTTCCAGCAAACATGCTTCCTTTGGAAAGTGGTAGTGGTAGGGGGAGACAGAGAGTGGCCAGTCACAAATAAACCAGCTAAGTTGGGGGACAGGGAGGAGGGGATTGGTGATCCTGGCCTGTTTTCTAGCTGGGTTGATGGAGCAATCACCAAGAAAGCTTTAAGCTCATTTGGGTAGTGTCTCTACTGTTTTGATGATTTCCTTAAAAACCAGCAACACAAAAGCATTTTATTTTCAAATAATGTTAGGCTTAGGAAGTTATAAAAATGGTATTTTTTAAAAGATTTATTTATTATGTATACAGCATGTATGACTGCAGGCCAGAAGAGGGCACCAGATCCCATTACAGATGGTTGTGAGCCACCATGTGGTTGCTGGGAATTGAACTCAGGACCTCTGGAAGATCAGTCAGTGCTCTTGACCTCTGAGCCATCTCTCCAGCCCAAAAAATGGTATTATTCAATGTCTACCCTTGAGCCATCTAACATGGGTATTGTCAAAACCGTGAGACAGAAGTAGGCCCTGGATCCTGTCCCCTTTCACCTGCCCTTGGATTTCTGTGGTAGCATGTGTGACTGTGAAATTTTATCAGATGTCTGTGAATCTTATGGGATTCACAGATCCACTGCTGTTCACCCACATTGACACCATTCCCAGAATTCAGTTCACTGTCACAGACTCGGCTTCTTTTTCTCTTGTCCGGAGACATACTCTTGGCATTACCAACCCAGAGCATGTAGTTTTGGGTTGCGCTATCTATGCAGCATCTTAGCCAAGACACATGCAGCAACATACCCAAGCCCAGAGTGAGCCCAGCTGTGCCACTGAACCCAGGTAGGAGGCGGGGGAAGGAGAGCCGAGGCCCCAAGAAGGGAAGGGACGTGCTGGTGAGGTCCAGAGTGCGCTGGACCAGGACTTCCCATTGGTGCTTTTGACTGACCTGCATGCTTTCTGTCCTCATAGGCCGGAGCCCCTCCCTACCCGCCCTGCAGTCCAGCTCCTGTCAGCTCTCCAGTTCCCGGGTGTGACACCCTGAGAATTGTTTCCCTTGATGTGTTTGCTCAGTTGGGCTAAACAGCCAGTTTTCAAGACTTTAGATATTTGGCCGATGAGCATTCTGTCTCACAATGGAGAGTCCCGGGCAGCAGGAATGGCTTCGGCCCCCAGCTAACATCTGCACCGGCACCTGCTGTAACTGTGCAGGCAGAGAGAACCACAGAACCCACGGAGTGGTAGCGCAGGGATGAGGCGAGGCAGGGGACACAGGCTCACATGGCAGCCTGGGCAGGAGCGTAGGGCGGCAGGGATTTACCTGGGTGCACTGAGATCTGATGACCAAGTAGCCAGATCGAGGGTCAGGAAGCATTCTATGTGGAAGGCCAGCATTCACTAAGGCCCTGCAACAGGGCATCAGTGCACAGTGCAGGACCAAGGGCAGGCTTGTGTGGCAAGCGCAAAGGGAGAAAGAGGGGGAGGTGCTGGCTGCCTGGACTTCCTCGGGCCTCTGCCCCCAGCCACCCCAGCAGATGCCCCAATAGGTGATCTCCATGGCAACCAGGGGCCCTGCAGGTGTTAATCTCCTGATGTCTGCTTGTGCTCACAGAACATGCTGGAGCAGCTCCTGATCCACCAGCCAGCAGACCCCATCTCCTTCATGATCAGTCACCTGCGCAGGAACAATGACAATGGTGAGCACTCCCTCCAGCGTGTGGTAGCTGCCACCGCCGTCTCCTCCAGGGACCCTACCCATCCTGGCCGCAGCCCAGAAGCCCTCTCTTCCTGTCTGTGTCTGAAGGGAGATCAGAACAGGACAGGGAGGGAGGTACTTGGACAAGTTGCAGCAGTTAATTGGAGAATGCCTTCTTTTTCTTTTTGAGCCTAACTAATAAAAATTCTCTTGCCAAGCTATTAAAATGCAAACCCCAGAATGGCCCATGTAATCAATTATTAATGCTTCCGCCTGCCCTCGCTGATGTCGCCTGTTGGGTTTAAACTCTCTGATCACTCCACTTGTCAGGTGAAGTTTGGTTTCTGGTCTACCTAGACGGGCGAGCACTTGGACTTTTTTCCAAGGGTCTCATTATCAGTACCTGCTAATGAGTGCCGAACTCCCCAGACCTCAGCCAGAGGCAGCTTGGTCAGACCCCAGGCTCAAGTGCAGATCTGGGAAGAGAATGGCCCTCCAGTAAGCAGGGGCCCTTCCTTCATCCCAGGGTGGTAGATTTGCCAAGCCGAGGGAGGACTCTCCTGGTGTCTTGGTTGGTTTGTTGATTTTCCCACTGGTCCATTAGCAGTTCTGAGGGAGCTTTATCTTACCAGTAAAGTTAGCATTCAGGGCTTGAGATGCCCCATGGTGGGATTGGGCTGCCTACAGTGCGAAATGATGCTAAATTGTCAAATAAAAGTTAGGTTTAGGTTTGAGCTGGGTGTGGTGGCTTGAGCCTTTAATCCCAATACTCAGGAGGCAGAAGCAGGCAGATTCCTGAGTTTGAAGCTAGCCTGGTCTACATAGTGAGTTCCAGGACAGCCAGGGATACACAGAGAAGCCCTGTCTTGGGGGGAAAAATAGGGTATCTCTTTTGTCATGGTGTCTTATCATTTAGCAACAGAAATAAAACTAGAACAATTTTTTTAAAAAAGTTTTAAAAGGTAGCCAGAGTAGGCTTCAGGCCTGCCAATGCACCAGCTCACGAGCCTTCCTCACGTGTCCTGTACCTGCACCTTGATGGACATGAGGGGCCTCTTTTAGCCCAAGTCTAGCATGTGGACCACAGCAGGGAGCTCCAAGCGAACCCTGACAGTGTCCTTTTCTGAGGCTCTTCCAAGGCATGAATGGCTGAGTCTGGGTACCCCAGCACTCAGTTGAGGTTGAGACCACAGACTGGGTGGAAATTGAGCTGTGATGGGGTGGGGGTGTCAGAGAACACTGTCCCTTAGAATTCCACCTGCTTCTTCCATCCTTGCCTACCCTGCACCTGGCAATTCCCTCTGACCCTCCCTGGTTGGCTGATTGCTGTGCTGTGTGGGAGGGAGGTTCTGCATTACCCTGTCTGCTGTTGGTGTAAATGTCCTGTCTGGGTGGCTGTGCCTCTTGGAGGGTTGTTTTTTTTTTTTTTTAAGGTTTATCTTCAATTTTTGCGTATGAGTGTTTTGCCTGCATGTGTGTCTGTGCACCATGTACATGCAGTACCCACAGAGCCAGAAGAGGGCATTGAATCCCCGAGATCTGGAATTACAGGTGGTTGTGAGCTACCATGTGGGTGCTGGAAACTGAACCCAGGTCCTCTGCAAAAGCAGCCAGTGCTCTTAGTGACTGAGCTCTCTCCCCAGACCCCCACTGTGGGGGAAATTTTTTGAGCTAATAACCTTCAGGC